GCCATGCTTGCGTCAATAAGAGTCAAGTCAGTTTTGGGTTTCTCTATCGAGGCCAGTCAAAGCTGACGACAAGACAACATACCTCTGCAACGTTGCGACCGACGCAAGAGCGAGGGCCGTATGAGAAGGGGATGAAAGCGCCTCTTTGCCTGGGAATTGTTAGCCTTATGATTTCGGAAGAAGTGGAATCTCGGACTCATTGTCTTTCAATCACTTACCTCTCGGTGACTTTCTCCCATCTCTCCGGGCGGAATTCGTCGGCGTCCTTGCCCCAGATTTCCTTGCTGTGGTGCATGGTGTAAGCCGGCACGCTCAACACGGTGCCTTGCGGGAAGTGGTGGCCGGCGATTTCCACGCCAGGTCCGGGAGGAACAACACGGGGAAGGCCTTGGCTTGAGGTGCTGTGGATGCGAAGGGTTTCCTGGATGCACATGTCGAGGTAGGGCAGGTTCTTGACTTGCTCGTGGGTCGGGACGTCGTCGGAGGGTAGGGCCTGGTCGAGTTCGGCTTGCAGTTTCTTGACGCGCGCCGGGTGCATGAGCATGTGGAAGAGCAGGGCGCAGGAGGTGTTGGAGGTGGTGTCGGAGCCGGCGATCAGCTGGGTGAGGGCCTCGGCGGTGAGTTCGGCGCGGCCGAGTTTCTCACCCTTCTCGTCTTTGCCTTCCATGAGGCGGGCGAGGAGGTCGACACGGTTGATCTCGCCTCTCTCGGCGGCCTCGAGGCGCATGTTGACACGGGCAATGGCGATACCGGCGAGGTTCTGGACGGCTTCAATGCCCTTGGTGAAGAATGGGTCCATGAGGTACTTGGCGTATGGCTTGATCCAGGGAATGCAGCCAATGGCGTTGGAGACCTCACCTCTGCGGTTGAGCACTTCAATGGCTGGAGCATAGGTTGGTGGAGCGTCGGGGGTTGCCCTGACTTCTGCGAGATCCTTTCCATTCTCGAGCATACCGAAGGGAGCGCCGAACGCCAGATCTCCAATGATGTCGAACGCAACGTAGTTGAACCAGTTCAGGCTGTCCATGCGGTAGAATCCGCCGCCGGCCTGCTTGCTGAGCTTGTCCCATTGTGTCGCCAGCATCTCAAGGTTGTGGTGCATGTATTGTTCGAATTGGCCGATGCTCTTGGTGCTGAATGTGTGAGAAATGGTCTTGCGCTTGCGGGTGTGCTCTGCGCGGTCTCTGGTGTTGAACAGACCACGCTGGATGGAGACGAAGGCATCGTAGTAGTCCCTGTTCCATGATGATCAGCCTACGTCGTGAGTCTTTGGAAGATATAGACATACGCTTTAAGGAAACCAGTTCCATGGCCATAGACTATGGGGATCGCATCCGGGTCTGCGATCGAGACCTGGTTCGGTTGGACGCGGACGAGTTTGCCGTACTTCGCGTGGGCATTGTGGACAGTCAAATAACGGCGGCAGCGGCGACACTCGTACAGGTACCAGAGGTTGGTGAACTTGGCGAAGAATGGACCGGGGACATCCTGTATGGACCAGTTGCGCATGTACGGGAGGATGAAGAACAGCACGGGCAGGGCCAGCAGGGTCCACGGGGTGAAGAGTAGGGACAGGAACATGGTGGTCGTCCGGCCGTCCTAAACAGGAAGGCGCCCTGGAGAGTGAAGTGAATTGGTATTTTGGTTCTTGGGAGAGAGCACCGCTGACGACGTTCGGGGGTGGTAATCAATGTTTATACCCTCTGCCATTCGAGCGTGCGAACTTCGGTGCAAGGGCTATAAACCGACTCGAGCTCCCGTCGTGTTCACCCCACTCTGCAGACACCGGGCACCCATGAACTTGACATGTCCAAGGCCGATCAGGGCCGTCTCAAAGCGTGCCACCGTGCGAGCGTGACGATGCCCGTTGCTTACTCCACGCTCTGGCCCCGCAGTTGGAATGCCGCATGGTCAGCCGTTGATGTTTCCGAAACTCGGTGGCCGTATAAGAGCAGCCGTGTCTGCTACCGAACCTCAAGTAGCGGAGCTCTTCCATTGAGCCTGCATCTGCTGTTCTAAATGATCCATGTTTGCTGACCGCCATGCAATTGCCATGCTAAAAGGGTTAGGGTTAGTGCCGAAACCATGAGAGGCGGATAAGACAGACCAGACAGGCCTCCCGGGGGACAGATGGACTAGGACAGGGTTGGGCGACGCTGGTAGCACTCTGTCCCAAATAATCTGCCCACGAGAGCCGGTTCAGTAGTTGGTCGAGGAGGTCATTCAAGGGCAGTATCAGGCAACCAAGTGGATGCTTTCGAACCAGTATGTTGATTTTGGGGCATGTCTCCAACACCACCAAGGTACTCATCAGGTCTCATGCGTGTATCTATATCCAAAAAGCCGTCATCATGAAGCATCAAGTCGTTCGTTACCAAGTCATCGTCGTTGCACTCCTCATCCTCAGCTTCAACTCCTTCTCAACATCCTTCAAACCCTGCTCGTGCCGCACCTTGTGCCGTGTCTGCGAGAACCCATGCCACCATATCCACAAGCCGTAAGTCGCTATGGTAACCGGGATGGTGACGGCGAAGAAGATCCACAAGTTGGGCGATGCAATGGGGTCTCCTGGTTCGGGGTTGAAGGTGAATGCGTCGTTCATGCTGAAGAATGACTGGTATGATTGTTAGCGGAGGGCTTCTACTGTACTTCTCGAAGATGAACTCACGGCTATGAATGTACCAGGGAGGAAGGTCAGCGTCAGCACGGCTATCGTCTTCATAGCTGCGCTGTCCTGCCTTGTCTCCTCTGCCACTTGCGCGGTGGCTTTGGCGAGCTCGATGTTCAGCAGGTTGTCACGTCTGCTCTCTTCGGCAATCCTGCGCGAACTCTGCGCGATTTCAATGTTGAGTCTGTTATCTCTTTGGATGATGAAATTCGTGATCTGCAGCGCTGTCAGTACCTATATCCAAGGCTTGCATAAACAGCCACGTCGACTTACCGCTTTGGACTGGTTTTTGATTCTTCGGGGGATGATCTCCAAGTCTACTCTCACTTGCTCCGAATACCGCATCTGCTGCTCAACCTTTTCCTGCATATCGTCGATGTAACTAGTGCCGCCATCCCATAGATTGGTCCACATGTGAAGGTATTCATCGAGGTACTTCTTCAGATTCCTGCCCAGCTCGGTCTCGAAGTTTGATCGCCGCTGAAGCCGGAGCTGCTCGATGTTGAACTTATTCAGCAGTTTGTAATCGCCGTTCTCTTCCAGCGAGATATCGCCCTCTGAAAGCCGTATTTCAGTGGTCGTGATATCACGTGACAAGATCTGCACCTGTCTCAACGTCTCATCCACATGCTGGACTAGGATGTGGAAAGGCAAGATGGCAAAATCCCGTGGCACCTTGGGGTGCTTGTTTTCGTACTTGACATCTGCCAGCAGGGCGTTGAGAGAGTAGTTCTCATCTGCGCAGTAGAAGCCACCGCAGTGGAACACGTTTCTGACCAGCGACAAAGAGCTGAAGGAACCACCGTCTCTTGGTGTTTGCAGTATGAAGATGAGCGTGTTGTGCGATGTCAAAGAGGCAGAGCCGCCGCCGTCTCGACTCCATAGATGTTCGTATTCGTCCGAGATCCAGCCTTCTTTCTTGACAATCTCTCGTACATCATCAGGGATAGGCAGTGGCGGTGTGTTGGAATTCCTACGCGTAATGGGAGGGTCCGCGACGAGTAACTTGAAACGAACAGTGCTGTCGTCGTAGCTGCGGTCGATTTTGTGATTGACCAGGAAGTCCTCGTCGTCCAGGTTCCGCAACGGCCTCAGTTTGATCTGGGTGGGAAACCGCCAGTTATTATGGCCCAGTTCCGAGTCCGAGATGGTGAACTTCCGGAGCGCCATTGGGGAGAGTCTTGGTGTTAGAAGCGCGGCTCGCGCGCTGCTTGAGCTTCAGCCAGCTGATACATCTAAGAGATACAAGTTGTGTGCGCGAGAAGAAAGCGACAGAATGCTTGGGCGCAGATTGACGTCCTCACAGCTGCGGGCGCAAAACACTCAAGGGTTGGCTGCACTCCGCAGAAGCACAGCACCTCAAGCAGTCAGTTCCAGGCCGGTCAGCGTTCGAGTCTAAAAGACACGCTACGGTATACAGCCGCTTGCAGATAGCCGACGATTGGCTGCGCCATTGGGGTCGTGCATGGTGGCACTTTGGCGAAGGCGAAGACCGAGAAGATGATGTAGGGTTGGAACTTGGGAGCGTTCTGTTGTAGATGTAATCATCACAACACTTCAAAGTGGAGAGAGAGACGGGGCGGAATATGATGCCGTACAAGAGTTCTACGATGAACCCTTCTCTCGGCCAAAGCTTCGTTCCGCGAGCCTGACCTGATAATAGACCCCTTGCCCTTGGTGGAGGCTGCGGCTGCCTCGGCTGGTTGAAGCTCGAGTGTTGCCGTGTTTGTTGGTGCTATAAACAGATCTTCATCGTCGAAGGAAGGTTGTGTTTTCCACCTTGTACGTCTAGCCACGCGACAAAACGTGGCATGCTGGATGTGTTTGTAATCATTGATTGCCTCAATGAGTACGTGTATAGTACACAGGTACCTGGTAAGAGCCCTGTCTGTTGAAACAAGGGGCTGACAGGCCATTTCCATGATGAGGTGGTACCACCCATTCGTTGGTTGCCAACCGCCCCTCTCCTCTGTTCTCCTTCAGCTGAACATGTACAGCACATGTCAAAGTATTGCTGTAACCGCATATAGCTGAGCCCGGGCAGCCACCATACAGTATCCACTAGCCGTGTTGTCAGGACATATCGTAATAGCACACAGCAAATGGCGACCGCTCGCGTGTGCTTCCCCGAGTCAAAGCGTTGTTGATGTTTCGTGGCAAGCAAGATTGGCCTTAGCAATCACAATATTCAGCCGCAGCACCTGTTGCATCGCGATATCTGCGTCATTCTCCTCGACGGCAGAGGCGGAGCGCATTCCTTTGGACGCATAGTCGGCCGTGCACACTTTTAACGCAGGCGTTGTGGCTATGTCAAGGCGCGGCGGAGGCCTCCATCACGTGTCTGACCGGGGTGTTGTCCAGCTCAGGCCCGTCGATGGTGTCGGCGGGCCCGGATGGCTGCATGAGGAGCACATGTATGTATGTGCTCATGTCGGCGCACTCTTGTTTGCTCGTTGAATATGTCGCTGTTGTTGTCGACTGCTCTCCCTTGTAACACAAATCCAGCTCCGCTGTGTCCAGACTGATGGAGTCCTATGAGACCTGGACGATCCCACCCGACCCGTACCTTGCACTTGGACTCCGCCGCGGTTGCTCGCCGCAGACCATCAAGGCGAGATACTACCAGCTCGCTAGGCGATACCACCCAAACCGCAACTATGGCACCGACGATGAGAAGCATGCTCTTGCAAGCCATTTCCACCGGATCCACGAGGCCTGGTTGTTGCTCAACAAGCCTGAGCAGCGTAAACGATACCTCGAACTGATCGAGCTGGCGGAGCTTCAAGATGAGGTGGAGCAAAAACACATAGAGCTGAGTGTGCGGGAGCGCGACGAGTCCAGCGACGACGAGTGGGCCTCCAGCGACGCAGAAGACTACGACCTGACACACCTGAGCGCGATCCGCCGGGCTAGAAGTCCTATGGGAGACTTTGCCTCAGATGTTGAAGACGCAGGCCGCGAGACTGTCCATACTGGAGCTATTGATGACCCCTTGAGTGCATCGAAACCCGCAAAACGTGGCAGAGGAGTAGACAGACGGGAGACCCATCCGCCGGCGTCGAAATCAGGTGATAAACAAGAAAGAGGCGGAAGTGATGCACAAGCGGCTGCGAAGCGGCGCAGGAAGCTCGAGAGGTACAAGAAGCAGGAGCTGGAGGCTTTCAGGCAGTACAGAGATGCCATGCTGGCCAAGCTGGAGGCCGAGATTGAGGCAGAAACGCTACGGACACAGTACGAGACGGCGAAGTGGAAGCGAGAAAAGGCAGAAAATGCGCCTCGCGAGGTGTCGACCCGCATTCGACTGGCTCAGCAAATCAACCGGGCGGTCAACCTGTTCAAAACCCAGGCAACACCCAAGTTGCAACGCCGACCGACTTTGAAAGTGAGGACACACATCTTGGGTACTGGCGAATACTCACGAGATGCAAACTTCCTCACTGTCAACAGCCCAAGCGCCACTCGCAACCTCGGGAGAGGTTATAGTAGCGACATCAGCGGAGACCAGACGAGCAGTGAGGACGAAGGAACACATGCGGCGGCCAGGAACCATCGGCGCTCGCCTTCGATGATATCCCGACGGCGCAAAGCACCAGATGTGGCACCGCCAATCAACCGAACTGTCTCTGCGCCGGATGGTGCATTCCACCTGAATGGAGACCAGGAGGACGATGATCTGCATCCAGCTTTCACCATGATAGTCAAACGGCCAACTGGCTTTGACAGCCCGCTCGCCTCTATAGCACCGGAATCGAGTGATGGCTCTGCTTCACCAATGACTGGACTAAGTCGCTCCCCGTCACCAGCAAATGGTCCGTCCCATGATCTTGTCCTTTTCTCGCAGGAGGAACACGATATCAACCTAGCCGGTGCCTCTTTACACAAACGCACAATGTCCCTGCCCACCCCAAACCATCACAGAAACGGCTCAGATCCGGACCTAGACACTTCGATATCTCGAGCACACGAGTCCATGTTTGCCATCAAGGTCGTTGGTAACCTCCGGTTCACTTCTTTCATCCCCAGAGACCATGTCCACAAGCTTGACTTGGCCGACGAACACCGCCTGCTTAAACCTCCTTCAGACGCAGGATCACACCCAAAGCAGCTATTGGAACGACTGCAACATCTCGACAAACGCGTTGCGGAGCGATTTATGGTCAAGCCAGACATCAAGGCCGAATTCGCATTCCGTCTGATCTGCAACAGTCGACACTTTATTCGACAGCAGCACTCTTCGTTCATAGCGCTCAGCTATCGACGCAAGCGTGTGGTTGAGAAACACCCGGACTTCTACACGCTCCCACTTGAGAAGGAGATGCTGCAGGCCGTGTGGGAGGAGCGCATCTCCGATCACGAAGGCTTGTGGATCGATCAAATTTGTATCGATCAGGACAGCAACGAGGAGAAGACGATATCCATGTCCGCCATGGACATGGTATACCGCAGTGCTCGGCTTGTGGTGGTGGCTCTCGACGACCTGGAACTCAAGGAGCGCGAAGGCACGGTTCTCAAGGACCACATGCTCGAGTACGAACGCCTTAGGCATGTCGCCCCAAACAAGCGCTTCCGCAGGCACCAGACACCTTGGTTGGAAGGCCACGAAGACTTGCTGCAAGTGCTACAGAAGATCCTGTCCTCATCGTGGTTCAAACGTGCTTGGTGTCGACACGAAATGCGACTAGCGCGAGACCACGTCTTTCTTCTGCCCTGTCGGACTGCTGGACCTTTCAAGCGCACAGTCCTGAGGCTCACCAGCTCCTGCATTGCCCACCTGCTGGCTCTCGCAACAGAAGTACCGTTTGATGCAAAGATCGAGCTCCTGAAACCGGCATTGCATGCTTTCTTCCGGGACCGCACTCAGCCTACCATCAACGGAACTGACTCCACCCAGCATCACGGTAACTTCACTACGGTGGTCGCCGAAGTCTTCGGCATGGAAGCAGGCGGCGACCCTAGACTCCCAGAGGAACAACGAGAAGCCGATGCTAGGCGCGACAAGGTATCCATCATCCTCAATACAATGGAGTGCGGTCTAGCATTGAATCCCCGCCATCGCGTTGGGATGTCGAAGGAAGAATGCTATTACTCGCTACTGCTTCTTGCGTTAGCTGCCGGAGACCCAGGAGCACTTTGCTCCGTCGGCAAGCCAATGCGTATTCCAGTACAGGAAACTGCACGACGCAAGTCATATGAGATCTCTTGCTGGCAGTTCGAGCCTACCAACGTCGATGCCGGCCTCAACAACTACAAAACGCTTGACCGGCTCCCAGTCGACTCAAAGTACTCCACGGGATTCTCCCACGGCCATCA